GGCTCCTGTGTGGGTAAATGCTCTGAGCGAGCATAACAAGATGCAAGACCACAGCGTGTGGTAGCAATTAGAACGATACGGGCATACCGAACCATCTCTTGGGTGACCGCATGCACCATGGCTGGAATGCCCCCTTGGGAACTGGACGCCCAGGATTTGGCGGAGGTATACCAGGAGCGGACATCTGCTAGGGCACGAGTTGAGCGCCCTGCGCTCGATGGGCGCTCAACTCGTGCCCTAGCAGATGCCGGAGAGAGAGACCTAGCAGATGCAATGTAGTGTAGCAAATGCCTGTGCCAATGAGTAGCAAATGCCTGTGCCAGGTGCGTCGCCAGGCGGAGGAAGAGCTTCTGGGGAGATGGGAGCAAATGCTTGAAACTTCCACGTATGGGGTTTGAACATTGGAAGCGATTCGCTCTGTCTTGGAGGAGTGGAAGACTCGCAGGTTTGGGTCTCTGACCTTTCGACTGGTGCAGGTATTGTCCGGGCACGGCTGCTTCGGGCAGTACCTACCTGGGGGGCAGTGGTCTCCTTCTGCAAGATGACATACTCACAGGAGGCCGCCGAGAGGGTCCGCGAGGAAAAAGCCCCCGCAGACTCTCAGACGCAGGAGGGTGAGGACTAGGAGACGGCAACAAGACCGACTCTTAGTCGATACCGACGGAGACCAGCGGGGTTCGGACTTGGGAGGTCCGGATCCTGCATTGCACAGGTCTCTGTTGATGGACGGGGATGCCCCTGATGCCTCGGGGCATCCCATGATGGGTGAGTCCGTTCAAATCGGACACTCACTGGTGGGGTTGCGGAAGCATCCGAAAGGGGTAGGGCCCCCCTCGCCGCACTCCCAAGGCGGTGGGGTATGCGTAACGCATTTTCCTGACGTTAAAAAAATAAATAAAAAAAAAGGTAGTGAATAGGAAAGGATCTTGTCAAGTATACAAATATCAAATACGAATGGGCATGTAAAGTGCCGGAATGACTCTGTTCATTGCCCCTGTCAATGATAGATAATATTTAAAAGGAGTCCTGAAGTAGTTTACGACATGGACACCCTGTCCAAGTTACATATAAAAATAAAATTTGCAGCTGTTTATCACGGTTGAACGGCTTAGAATTTTCATTTTATTTCCATTTTGGTGCATATCTATCTCGCTATGATTTTTGGCTATAATCAGTGGGCCCGAGATCCACATGGTCGTTTAGCTTCAATTGCTTATATCGCTCTGCCAATTGCATCACATAGTTAATGAATGTATCCGTAGTTGTCGCAGATGCCGTCACATTAAATTAAAATAATCATTCCGTCGGTAAATAGCCCGATTGAGTTTTATTTTATTTTATTTTGTCTAGAACCTAACCTAAAAGCGTGTGGTTCACGGACCCACCAATTTTGTTCAATCATTATACCGGAAAGCCAGTAAAGTGACACCGAAAGTAATAAATAATGTCATCGTCACATTCATCCTAGGTGGTTTTCATAAGGATTGAACTGGTGGGCCTTCGATCAACAATAGTATTGTTAATCGACCAACCCTTTGATCAACAATAGTATTGATAATCGAAGGGTGGGCCCGAGGTCCACATGCTCACGACCAAACGGCGGACTGCAATTCAGGATCGTGAATGGGTCCCTTTACATACAAAAACATCCACTGAGCAAGTTCATTTGTCTGTGGTTTTACTCAAGAAGTTTGCTAAAGTCACAGCACACATTTTATACAGATGTTTTAAATATGATGATTCAAAATTTAGAGGCTTTAGTTGGGTTTTAGATGTCTTGTCATGACAACATTAACGAAACGGAGTCGAGGATTTCTCAAGATATCTTTATGAGTGAGTGAATACTACGCGAAGTTTTAAAGGAGGCTAATGTTTTAAAAGAAATTTTTGTCTTTTCTTTTTTCTGGGTCGGGGGTAACAACGTTTTATGAACCGCAGACGCCGTACGCTCAGATTCCAGATTCTGTTTTGTAATCTGAGGCCGTACGTTCCGAAGTTAGTTAGGTAGGTTGTTGGTTAATTATTCGAATGTTTAGTCTGATTTTACAGTGAATTAGCGAATTGGTGATTATAACGAATAAATTGTAGTTTTACTACTTTAAATTCACTGGAAAAAAACATGTTATTACTTTTAGTAGAGTAATAACATGCGAGTTAATTTGCAAAATTAATAAAAATGTTCTTAATCATTGTAAATGTTTTTCATATATATACTTTTTCTTTTTCTTAAAAACTTAGTTATGCATTAAACTACCTACTGTCACTTTATTCGACTTAGAGCAAGCATACAGATTTTTACATTCCGCCCTTCTGATTTTTTGGTTTAGCAGATGACAACATTGAATAGCCTTTCCGCTCAGCGAGCTATGTAAGTAGCTAAGGCTTCTACCTGTTTTTTTTATCAGGGTTCCGTACCTCAAAAGGAAAAAACGGAACCCTTATAGGATCACTTCGTTGTCCGTCCGTCCGTCTGTTAAGACCGTTTTTCTCAAGAACACGTGGAGGTATCAAACTGAAATTCATATCTAATACTCAGGACTACTGTCCCTTGGAGCTGTGAAAAAACCAAACTTTTAAGCCAAAGCAATCAAAAGGTACAGCCGTTTATGCCGCAAATTTCCGCAAATTATCGAAACTCGCACGGGAATCAAAACCTACAGGGTATTTCACGTGAACTTAGAATCTTGAAATTTGGTACGAAGAATTGTACAGATAAAGGAAAAATGAAAACCGTGCGAAGACCGTAAATTTTTAGTTACATCATATAATAAAAAAATATTTTTTAACAATTATTAAAATATACCTACAGGTTTGTACGCAATCCTCGGTGCGCGAGTCCGACTCGCACTTGGCCGTTTTTTTTCCTTTTTTGTGGCAAGCACACCTACCTGTACTTAGTATGTGGTACCTACGTACGCAAAGTTACCAGATTGGGTTTTTATCCGCAATTCTGGGAAAAAAATGACGGGAAAATATAGGAAATTTTCGGGGTTAGAGAACTTCTTCAGCACCTAAAAGGCAATAAAACGAACTTCCTTTTCATTCGACTTATATCCTAAGAATCCAGAGCTATATGAAAATAGTCTACCTACCTATTAGGGAATGAAGAACCGGGGAAAAAATCGAATCCTGGAATTTTCGTGACTACCCGATAAAGGAACCGAGACTTCCGGAACTTTTGGGACTACTATATTTTTAAAAGATACATAGGTATTTTTAGGGAAGGCAATGAAGCGCATTATTTTTCATATATTAAGAGTTATTTTATAATTTTATCATCAGCATTATCAGCCGTACAACGCCGACTGCTGAGCTATGGCCTCGCCAAATCTTCAGAGCGTTTAGTCCTGCGCTACTCGCATCCAGCGGCTTTCTTCGACCTTCAAGAGATCGTTGTTCTATCTGGTGGAGGGCCTACTCTCTGAGCATGGCGTTGGGTGCGCGTTTTCACTCTTTGCCAAGGTTCCATGTCGGTTACCTACTTTAGTTTTCCTACGGATTTGTTCATTTCTGATTCTATCGCACAGGAATATTCATTCCAAGTTCTCAGACATAAGAACCACCTCATTGGCGAAACGAAACTGTGTAAGAAACTCACCATTAATGTTGAAACCACGCCCTTTCCACTCCAAAAGCTTATAAATAACCTCCAACGCAGCTGCTGTGAACAGATTCGAGGATGTTAAATCCTCTATGTCTCAAGCCTGGTTCTAGTTGGATAGGATTAGAGCTCTGAAATTTTGCCCAGGTTTTAATAGAACTGAAGGCTTTCTCTAAGTCAGCAAACGCCAGGCAATGCAAATTATACTTTTCAGTTTTCCCTAAAACTTCACTGTGTATAAATATGGTCTATGATACTAAATCCTTGTCGAAACCAGGCTTGTTCGGGGGTTGGCAGTCGTCAAACCTTCGTGCGGGATGATTCTTAATGATTCGAAAACTCCTTATAAACATGGCCTTCTCCTTACAAACTGAAATGAGGTTGTTAGATGGTTCTTCCAGGGTGTCTTGCAATCCTTTTTGGAAAACAGGATAACGTCAATTATGTTTAATGCTTTTGGTGTGCGGCCTTTAGGGATGATTTATGGGCGCCAGGTGGCAGCACTCAGGCGAAATGTCTACTCATCCGTCAAATCGCATATGCTGTCATAGTCTATGGATTAATTTAAATGCTCGTTCGATTAGTTCGTGCCAAAAAACTTCATACAAAAGATCTTACGCCACAGTGGCGCTAGTGACGTGAATTTTCCTAAACACCCTCATTGTAAAGCTCCTGGAGGACTTTGAGTATCGAATTAATCTAACGCTGCTTTCATCAGATGTTTGCGTAGATTATAACTGCCCATAGAAACTGGTGGGGTAGAGACTAAAAAGTATTTGATATCTTGCATGAACTTAGTGCATGAAGCTTAAATTAATAAATAAAAGCCATCTTAATTTTATTTTTTGGTAGCAAAGCGATGGCGGTTTTTTTTTCAGAAAACAAATTATTTTAGGGAAACACAAAATCAGTTTGGGGGAAATGTCATAAGATTGCATCTGGAAATCCCACAAACAAACAAACGTCAAACGGGAGTTTTTGGCGGGATTTCATCGAGTGTGTACGCTATTCCGGTCAATTGGACGTCAGAATTTTATTGTAGTATTGACTACCTCACAGAAGCTTATCGAAAAAGCCAGCTCGATACATTTCGTGCCAAACAGTTCAAAAAACATTAGAATGCGTCACACAAACATTCTAATGTAAAAAGAAAAACAGAATAATTTGACTTAAGACTAGGCTGTATGGGCATTATTCCCCTTGCCTTCCCTTAAAAGAGAGAATAAACCAAAAAGAAAACACAAACGATACACGTTTTGACGTTTCGTTTGTTTGACATTGACGGTTCCTTTCTCTCCAATTTTTATTTTTATAGAAAAATAGTGTTCTCTAACCAGAAATTATTTTATTCTGACACGTGGTATATTACATATTTGCTGTTTAATCAATCAACACCAGACAAATTTCTCGAATAAAAGTACGGTATAACCACCATAGTTGTGCTACCTCAATATTTGTAATTTTTTGTTTACTAGCACTTATTAATCGTATGCTTCCCGGTAATCAAGTACAATATGGTTCGAACAGTATATTCACCGGAATATTGCTTGCAATATCTGGAGCAGTATGCTTCTAAAGAAATCTTTGGAATAGGTTTAATATTAGGACAAGTAAGTACTAAGCATTTAAAGCTACTCAAAGGCCTTATCTTGTTTCATCTTCATCATCATCAGCCTATTAAAGTCCCCACTGCTGGGGCACAGGCCTTCCTTATAGATAGAATAGGGAGATGGGGCCCTATCTTGTTTATTACAACTTATTGGTACCCTGTTGCTTAAATCACATAAACACATTATTTTCACATTATAGACTACAGCTGCAAAAGAAAATGTTATCCATTTGGCACGTACACCTGAGGAAAAAAGCCCAGACAGTGGTTCAGAATCTAGTTATGTTTCTGATAAAACTGAAATTGTGAAGAATCTACTCAGTGTATCAGAGGCTTGGGTTGCAGATCATGCAAAACATGTTACAAGAATGTTACCAGGGGGTATGTTTGTTCAAGGTAAGAGCAAAAATATTATTTTACCAATGTCTCAATTTACAGACAAAATTGCTTTGCACACAAAGGTGCTTAAGACAGCCAGGCTTTACATTGAAATTATATAATTATGGGTAAGGTTCAAATAGATTTTCTTTCCAAAGAAAATACATTACAATTAGCAGATAAGTAAAATCCAAATTGAGAATTATTACTAATTTCAGGAATATTTGTAACCAGTGATGAAGATATATTTGAGGATCCTAATCAATTTAGTAAAGTAAAAGAGATTTTATATTACATTTATAAGGTATTGAATGTAAATCAGTATATGTATGGGAACTGCCCATATACAAATGAAAGGCTTGTCCTTCATATGTCAACCAATACAAAAGTGTTGACTTGTAAATCTGTAGAGGTTGGCGCCACAAACAAAAGTACTGTGATAAAGCCAGTGGAGTGGAAATTTGTACCAAAAGTGCAACAGTGGCAGCGATTAGACTGCTATTATGAATTTGATGAAGTATATCCTGTAATAGTAAAGAAAAGTGGCATATCGGTCAAACATCAATTTCAGGTAAATATTTGCATCATTATGGAATTCTTGAGAAGGTAATTTAGTAAAGAAATATGTTGAGTCATATTGGTAATTTCAATTTAGTGCTTTGCAAAGTACAAATGTTTTTAACAAACAAATACAATAGGTATTTGATTTTTTTAAAGAAAAGTTAAGTTTTCTCAATTAATGATAATGAAAATTCAAGTACAGTTTTAAAGTGTTATGTGTGTATATTTAAAAAAAAAAAAAAAAAAAAAAGTGAACTGAACTGTCAGATCCTCGGGTCATATTTTGGATTTTAAAATTATTATTATGACCCATAAATGGTAAATAATACCATATTTTTGCAGCCCAAATTTTTCTTTATGACCCCGCAATTGGGCAACCTGAGTGCTGATGTATTTGCCTGGAATGTGTTTACATAAAGTCTGCTATTTTGTTGACATTTCCCCGAACAAATTGTGTTACTAAGGACGCCTTGGACATCCACACCTGTTGCTAGGTACCCGCTACTACTCAGCCAATAGGAGTCTTGATTTGCTCCGGCGGCCTAGCAACCTTGACGGACCTAGGTAACGACGCATGCGTCTTGGAAGCAGCTGTCATATAGACTGACTTTTTATGTTTACATTTTAAGTTTCATTAGTGTACATTTTAAGTTACTTTTTGTGTTTTTAAACCTGTTTTAAGTTATTATTTATTTTTGAATGTATTTTACTATTGTGAATGCAGTCCGTGACCCAATCTTGTGATGGCACGTCGAACGCGACCTACACATGTACACAGTGCCACAAGTCTTTTAAATCTTTGAAAGGCCTCAAAATACACACTTCAAAAACACACAGGCAATGTATTAGTCAAAACAATTCACATTTAGACATACATCCCATTATTCCGAGTGCGCCTGCCAACGATCCAACTCCTTTCCACACATATCTCAGCCATTTGAAAAATAGTATACCAATAGTTAAAAGAATCCCGCGAGGAGCTCGAATAACCGTTGCTACATATTTGTCACAATTAATCCAGAAATGTTATATAAGCAATTTAACTCAAGACTGGCAGAACCTATTTTTATTTTCATACAGCACTCTTCATATCTTAAAAACTGATGAACCGAATTTATCCTTGACACAAAAGATTAAGAATAACTGTGCTGTAAGCTCCTCGCCTTCTCCCGCACCTCTAATCAAACATGATGCCCCTCATAATCGCAAAAAACTCGTTGAAAACAAAATCTGTGACGGAGATCTCAAAGGTGCCGTTCGCCTTTTGTTCTCCAATGACGTGCTATCACCAGATACCCCTGACACCCTTCAGGCCTTACGGACAAAACATCCCCCAGCTCCAGCAAACCCATATTTTCTCGACCCACCAACAGCAGGGCAAGCATGCCTTCAAATTCAATACAAAGATGTTATGGATGCCATTTTATCTTTTAAACCAGGTTCGGCTGCAGGTTTGGATGGAATCTCACCCCAACATTTGAAAGATTTAACTTCGCATTCTGTGGGTAATGCAGGCGAGCAACTTGTAAATTCGATCACTAAATTAATCAACTTTATGTATTCCGGTAGTGTCAATCCAGAAATTGTTCCTATTCTTTTCGGCGCGAACCTCATTGCCCTGACCAAACAGGACGGAGGGGTGAGACCAATTGCTGTTGGATCAACACTACGACGTCTGGCCTCCAAAATTGCTGTTCGACATATTTTACCAAAACTAAATTCGGAATTTGAACCCGTACAGTTAGGCTTCGGTGTCAAAGGAGGGTGTGAGGCAGCCGTCCATGCCCTACGCTCCTTCCTAACTTACGGGCAGCCTGACGTGTTGCTCAAAATTGATGTCAAAAATGCATTCAATTCGGTAAATAGGGATACCCTGCTGACAGAAATAAAACAACATTTACCGGAAATATACAATTATCTTCTTCTCAGTTACGCCGACCCAACAAAATTGTTATATCGTTCTAATGAACTGTCCTCGGAAGTCGGTTGTCAACAGGGTGATCCCCTTGGGCCTGCAATTTTTAGTTTGGCTATAAATCCGATAATCAAAAATTTAAATTCTAAATTTAATGTTTGGTATTTGGACGACGGAACCCTAGGAGGTGATGTGGATACTGTTTTTTCGGACCTTTTTTCAATCAAAAATAAATTTGAAGCCATCGGTTTGGAGCTTAATTTTAGCAAATGCGAACTTTTTATAAATAACAACGACTTAAATTTAAATGACGTTAAACAAAAATTTAATATTTTAGCTCCAAATATTAAAATAGTTAACAGTAATTCCCTTTACCTTTTAGGTTCTCCAATTTTTGATGAATCTATTTCTGAATATATTAATAATTCAATTAATAAATTTCAAAATTCTGCCGACCGTCTCCTTGAAATTAGTCCACATTATGCACTTTGCATCTTAAAATTCTGTCTTTTTGTCCCAAAATTTACGTATGTGCTCCGTTGCTGCTCCTTTTGGAATCACTTAGATCTTTTGTCACAATTAGACGACTTAATCAAAATTAAATTAGAATCGATTCTTAATATGCAGCTGAACGAGCAATCTTGGACCCAAGCATCCCTACCCATCCGTTATGGTGGTTTAGGGATTCGCAAAATTTCCAGTGTCGCTTTACCAGCCTTCCTATCTTTTGTCCATAGTTCAACAAATCTCATAAGTAAAATTTTAAGGGCACCCCCTTCAAACTTTGAGATTGCTGGCTTGGAAGAAGCTAGAAACGCTTTCTTAATTGCATGCCCAGGTCAAAATTTTCCAGTTTCTCCAAATTCACAGAGGAGCTGGGACGACATAAATTGTAAATTAACCTATAATAACCTTTTGAGCTGCAGTACAGGTTCGGTGCGTGCTAGGCTTTTGGCCGTGGGTACGCATGAGGCTGGCTACTGGCTTCACGCGTACCCTTCGACAAATACGGGCACATTTCTTGAGCCTGACACAATCCGAATGGCAACCTGTCTACGGCTTGGGGTCCCGGTCTGCGCTCCTCATAAATGTCCCTGTGGCAGTGATGTCGACAAGCTAGGACATCATGGACTGTCTTGCCAAAAAAGTGCAGGCCGCTTCTCGAGACACGCCGCACTTAACGATATCATACGCCGGTCCCTTGCCACCGTCAACGTGCCAAGTCTACTTGAGCCAACTGGTATTGCAAGAGACGATGGCAAGAGACCGGACGGTATGAGTTTGATTCCATGGAAGATGGGTCGGGTGCTAGTATGGGATGCAACCTGTTCAGACACGCTGGCCCCTTCCCATCTACATGGAACCAACAACAGAGCTGGTGCGGCTTGTGAAGCGGCTGAAAAAGCTAAGGCAGGCAAATACAGGGGTCTAGGCTCCGAATATGATTTTGTCCCATTCGGGGTCGAGACCCTTGGTCCGTGGGGTCCTAGCGCTATAAGGCTTTTTAAAGAAATAGCGAAAAGATTAGTCGACATCACAGGAGACCGAAGAGCTGGCAGCTACCTTGGACAAAGAATTAGTCTAGCTATCCAAAGGGGGAATGCTGCCAGTATCTTCGGAACCTTGCCTAAAGGGACTCCTTTTAATAATGTATTTTAGTTATTATATTTTATTTTTTTTAAGGTTTTTAGTTTTAGGTTCATTGTTATAGTATATTTTTTGTTTTAATTATTCTTAAATGTATAAATACAAGCCTCTTTTTTTTTTTTTTTTTTTTTAATTTTTATGTATATTATGAAATTCTGATAAAACCACCTACCTATAAAACCTAGCTACCTGAAAAAGAAATAATATAAGTATGACAGCAAATAAGATAACTTTAATTAATAAAAAATTAAGCATTAAAATATGAATAGGCATTTTTGTAAATCTTAAAATGGTTTTGTTTTAGCAAATATTAGAGTCTTCACATAAGACTATAGAATCAAGTGTTATGTTCATTGATGGGGAGTTGAAGGATGGAAATGAAGCTATAGAGCAACTTATTAAAAAGAAGAAAACAAAAACTAATTCCAAGATTGCTCAGCAAGATGTGCCCAAATCTATGCATGTCTCATTATTTGTACCATTTGTGAGTATCAAATTGCATTGAATATGATCTTAGGACTTTGAAGTTAAGAAACCTATACATACTGCCTTATTACAAAACATAAAGTTAAAATTGGAAAAATCTGATACTGTCACTATTTTTTGCTAAAATGAGAAGACTGTGACAACATAAGATTTGAGGAGTTCAATGGCGCAGGTGGCTACCGCGTTCGGCTGTGATCGTTGAAGTTAAGTAACTTTCGCAATGGTCGGTCATTGGATGACCAAAAATTTTCTATCTCGAGTTCCTCTGTGGTTCATCAGGCACGTTAAGCCGTTGGACCCGGCTGCATCTGCAGTCGTTAACATCCGCCAATCGGCACTGGGCCCGCGTGGTGGCTCATGGCCCAATCTCTCCCTATTCCATCCATATGGAAGGTCTGTGCCCCAGCATTGGGGACATTAATAGGCTGATGATGATGATGATGATGATGAGGGTTTAAACCAAGACTTACTTAAGTCCACATTTTGGAATAAATTGGTGGAAGTTTATTTTATACATTAGGCCTGATTCTCAAAACTGAAATCAAACTAGACAGCAGCTTAATCATATCATGTTCTATACATATGGAGAGGATGCTGTCAAATTTATTTTTAGCTTTAGAGAAGCATGTCAGAATCAGGCATGGTTACACTCCTGAATAGATTTCAATTAGTGTTGCCCAAATGCAAGATTAAGACGAGACTTAGCCAGTCTTGGTCTTGGTCTTGCGCCAATACACCTGGTCTTGGTCTTGGTCTTGGTCTTGCAGCAAGAGTCTTGCAAGTCTTGCAATTACCTATTAGACTATTGCTATTTATTAAAGTTTACTTTAGATCTTAGAAAAACGTATTAGAATTGGAACATTGTGAGCTTGAATTAACATAGCTATAGTAAAGATCAATCAGATTAATAAATGTTTTTTACATGTTTCAAGTATATTTAAAAGTGGCTACAATATTTATCAAACAGGTGATATTTGACCACTTTTTTGCTATTTTTTTTTGAAAAAGCTTAAGAAATTTAAGAAATATTTTGACTAAATGTACAATAATAGTACCTAAGTAATTAGTTTAAACCCATATAATCAATATTATAATATATACTTACTAGAATAAATCATTATGACATCTACTACCTATCCTTACCATTATCTAATCATAATACTACTTGCGTGATCAGTATAATGTATTCGTTTCCATTCTAAGCACTCTGAAACTTATTTATTCTTTGGAACACCTGTACTCTAAAATTCGAAAATCGAAGTTCGTGTCGTACCGTCTCGCTCGCTCATATATTAAATAGTATTAGCGTGAGTGGGACGGCACGACACGAAATTAGAATTTTGCATGAGTATACCTAGGCCCTGTGGCGGCAATCAAATAGTGTCAAATGTTGTGATTTCGGCGCGGCGGCAACGATTGTTGTATGTGATTTCAATAGAAGCCGTCGGCGCGTGTATCATCACCATGTACTTCCGAAAAGCGGCAAATTTCTTTGAGAAGTCAGTATAAAACCTTTGATGGCGCATTATCAAAGTGTCGATGGTTAAAACAAAACTATGCATGCACTCTGTTTGATTTTAATGGATATTTTTTTATTCGCTATGTATGTTTATGGTATTGGTCGTAATGCGCATAGGTCCAGTTTTTCATATTCTTTGATACAGTTTTTTGCGTCTCATAGAATTCCTAAGCGTACCTATACACCGAACTGTTATACCTAACTACTCCCTGAAATAGCGCTAAGTCCTAGCTACAAGACGCAAGAGTCTTGCGGGATTAGTCTTGTTCTTGCTCAAGTCTAGCACGGTCAGTCTTGGTCTTGCTAAAAATACGCGGTCTTGTTCTTGGTCTTGGTCTTGCAAAAATGCAAGAACAAGACCAAGACTGCAAGACCAAGACTTCAATACAATTTAAAATTTCAATTTTTAATTTCAATCCATGTTTATAATTTCGATGCTTATCACACCATGCCTTTCAATGTCTAGCTCCATTTAAAACCCACGGTTCCTTTATTAATTGTTACTTTGCGACTTCAATTTCATTTTTAACTTTTTTTTTTTTCAGGAGAATACTTTACCAGAGACAGTTGAGTATCTGGAATGCGATGGTAGCATCCACTTCAGTGGTGTTGTGTCATCTAGTGTTTTCATTTGTCCAAAAGCCACAATCAGTGAATCTATAGCGGCTGTGAAACAAGATATTATACGGTCCCTTGCATCAAGATTTACAATGCACTGTGATGCCTTAATTGATGATAATTTGTTACCTGAAGGTGAGACTTTTCTAGCTTACAAATCAGTAGTTCTGTGGCCACTTATTCATACTTACCACTTACCTTGCCAACTAGTTATAAACTATTTTATAATTTATAAAACAGAGTTCAAGTATAGTGCCATCAGATTTATCTCCATATGATGATAGTTGTTCACGACAGTCGTGCACTGACCCGAGAGAAAAACGTGCCTACCAATCACGAGGCCTATTTTACAGGCGTCAGAGGGGTTCGGGGCACATGCGACGGGTCATGCATCATAGTCGCATGATGGATCGCCAATCAGAAGGCTTACTTTTAAAGGACGTGGGGGAGCGTGTCTCTTAAAAAGTATTTTTAGATTAAAGTGAGCGCTGTGATTGGTCGATGGTCCCGCACAACCCGGGCCAAATTGTTATATAAGACGAAACGTTTGTAAAGCAAATTGTAGTCTGCTAGGAACAATCATCGTGTTGACAACTATCCAAAAAAGTCTACAGTCCACACCAGGGATGAAAGTGTTGAAACTGAAGACTCATCACTGACATAAGGACTAATTCCTTTGAGCCGGATTTAAATGGGACCTAACATAGAATAAAGCTACTTCTGCATAATCCCTTCTTTATTGGAGAGTGATTTGAAGATTGTATAGTAGTTATAAAGTTTTAGAAATAAATATCTTTAATAGTAAAACAGTCTGTTTAGCGATAAGGACAATAAAAGCAATTTGATACAATTTTAATATGTAACCATTCTATGCATAGTTTAAATAACCTAAAATAATCTCTTCTCTGCCACTCACTAAGCTCCCTCTCATAGTTTATTAGGTACTTAAAACATACTGTCATACTAAAATTATAACATTGTTGTATTTTTCTCACAGAATGTTGTCAATTTCAGTATTACTGAAAGTAATAGTAGTAGTAGTATATATTCTTTTTGTGCCTGTCTTACCAATTTCCTCTGACTTGAGTCGTGTCTTTATATATTTTGACAGAGAAAGTTTGCTTTAACGAGCCACCTCGCCGCGTGTTAGTGCCGGTTGGATCTCTTTACCTCTGCGACTACTTATTTCCCGGAGAAGCGCCTGCTGAGGCTCTTCTGTCTGTCCGAGAGCTTCTGGACCTGCAGATAACTGAGGCTGAGGTCATTAGTGACGTAGAAACACCTGCAGGTAAAAATAAATATTCCTAATTAATATTATAAATGTGAAAGTGAGTTTGTTTGTTACTCAATCATGCAAAAAGAACTGAACGGATTTGGATGAAATTTGATACGCATATTGTTTTTGACCTGGATTGAGACATAGGATACTTTTTATAGGGTAACGGATATGATACATTACGGATACATATTTAGGTCAATTTATCCAGAAATATAATGTAAACATCCATGATTTAGGTATAAATGCCCGTATTCATCATACTAGCCTTTCCCCACCAGGATTCGAAGCCGGGATCTCTGTGTAGGTGATATTTTGAAATCCGGCTTGCAAACAACTTGGCCATGGAGGTCGGCAATGAATGTATTGTCCTCAGCCTATTAATGTCGCCGCGGCTGGGGCACAGGCCTTCAATATGGATGCAATAGGGAGATTTGACCGTGACTCATCACCTATTGTGGATCGGTCGGTGCCAACGACTGCAGATGCAGCAGAGATTGACGGCTTAACGTGGTTTCTAAAGCACGGAGGAGATTGAGATTATAAATTTATGGTCACCCATCCTATAACCAGCCATTGTCGTAGTTGCTTTATTTCCATGATCGCAAACTGAACGTGCTAACCACTTGTGCCATCAAGCTCTTCCATCTGGATTAATTGATCACACTAATATTATTAAGGCGATAGTTTGTGAGTGAGTGAGTGTGTATGTTTGTCACTTCTTCACGTCTAAACGGCTGGAGCGATTTTAATAAAATTTGGTATGGAGGTAGCTGACACCTTGGATTAACAGATAGGCTACGTTTTACTGCGGGAAAATGTCCCTAATAAACCGCGGGTAACACCGTGGTCACAGCTAGTTGTCAATAAATATAACGCTGCAGGCTGGTACCTTGGGTTTTTAGAGCCTGCGCTGCGTTAAGCGAGTCATGGAGCGGGCGTCCGCTCCGCGTGCAGTTTTTATGTCATTTTATAGAGACCCGCGGCCGAGCGGGAGACCTGGCTAACGTAGCCCGCTCCGTGCTCCCACTTAACACAGCGCAGGCTCTAAAAGACAGTAAATTCCAGCATTGTGAAACATTGGTAACCAAGTAATGAAGATTTTCGTGATTTACAATATTAGTTCTCGCCACCGTGGCATGTTTCTAAACTCTAGCCGCGTTATTCCAAAACGCAGACTACAAGTCATCTTGGTTTAAACCTAATTTTGTCTCTGTCTTCTTTTAAGCAAAAAAAAGTGACAGCATCAGTTTTAAACCAGGTATATCTTTAGTCTACGTTTTGTAATAAGACGGTAATTGATTCACAGGAATATTATGCTGTTTTACGGATTGACGTATGTATGGACCTCTAGTCTTGGTGTGGCCACCTAGCGGCCAAAACTTTGTATGTATCAATTCTCTTTTTTTTCAGACACTTCAGAGTTCGATGCTTTAGACAGAGACGCTAGCAGCGAAGAGATGTTAGCGACCCCCCAAGAGGCCAGCCAGTTTATGTACATCACGGGAATAAGTTTCGCCATGTTGGTTTTAATAGTGTCCATAATCATTCACTACTATGACACAATCATGGAGGTTCTCCGCAAACTACTTACCAGATCTTAGTACAAAATAGTCCCTTAACAAGACTAGTTATTTAAAGTTACGGCCATTTTCAATTTTTATTATAAATTTACTTATTAATTTATTTGCATTTTTATAAGTAAATGATTTTCGAATTATAATCAGGTGAAAGTGCAATATGTTTAATGGGTAGGAAAGTCGTTATTATGATCGGAATTTTGTTTGTTTCAGTATGTACCTCACACACCTTGATAAAAAATGTGTTTAAGTATAGGTAGCGGCCCGGCAAACGTCTTAAGCAAAACCACAGACAAATAAACTTGTGCAGTAGACATTTTTGTATGTAAAATTGCTACTGCGCAGGCTTGTCTATGGTCGTTGCTCAAGAAGTTTGCCGGGGTGTATAGTATACCTATGTAGCGCTGTTGTGTTATGACTGTTCTAATATTATGATTGTTCTTGTGTTATCATTTTAAACTTCTTTATATTAAAATATTTTTTTACAAATTGATGATACAATTATTATTTAATAAATCTACGAAAAGAGGAATTTTGTAGTTTTCTTTAAAAAAATCACCACAGCACTTTCTGTGTTCTGAGCTACATTGGTTGACATCGTGTCAATTCGTCTGTTAAATATTACCCGAGTTTAATTTGCTAATATGATTATGCCGTACTACTGGTAGTTTCACGCGGTTGTGCTACGGGTAAGATCACTCGTGTTAGCGAATATTTAAGATTAATCTCAAAAATCAGTCTTATCTCTGATGTTGGACTGGGAGATAAGAAAAAAAATACGATAGTTGCTATCTTTTTCGTGCACATAGTATAAAATTTTCAATGGAATGAACATAATTCTGAGTACGCAAAAAATGTGTATTCATTGTTTTTAGTCGTCTTTTATAAAGCCTACCTGCTTTTACTGAACCTTTCAGATAAGAACTTTCGAAATTTGGCGTGCCAGAGTTCATCATAATAATAAAAGTTGCTACAGGAAATCCAAAAGTAGTACAGTCATTTGGTGAGAAATATAGTGGTTACCTGGAAAGTTTTCCGGAAGTTTTGAAAGTCGTTATTTTTATAAATTTTGAGGTGCTCTTTCCGAATTTCGACTTTGCCACGTCATATTTTTGCCGCTCGCGCCGCCATATTGGAAAAATGGCGCCTAAAAGCAGTTTTTTGACAATATCTCCTTTCCAACTCATTTTACGATAAAAACAGTTAATACAAAATGAAACTAGAGACAATTGCCTACAATTTATGTATCTACCTTTTTTTCATAAAGTCAATAGTTTTGGCGTACGAGCGCCGTAAAGTGTACTGCAACGCGCATTTTGGCCAAAAACTCATTTCCACACCATCTAAGTGGCGCGTTTTTTTTTAATGTGGTATCCCCAATACAGCGCGTAAGTAAAGCTAAGAATTTGGGACTGATTATAGATAAGCACCTAAACTTCGAAAGCCACATTGCTGAATGCTCCCGTATATATTTTTATAGATTGAGGCTATTGTACAAAATTAGGCCCTATTTATCTGAAGAGCTGAGAATCAAGTTGTGTGAAATGCTTGTTTTATCTAAATTGAATTATTGTGATACATTTTTTGGGCCCTGCCTCATGTCTAGATCAAATAAGCTCATCCAACGCGTACAGAACGCTTGTGTTCGGTTCTGTTTTTATGTGCCTCCTCGTTTATATGTGACTTCTTTCTTGAACGATTCAAAACTGTTAAAAATGGAGGCAAGGGTGAAACTTCATCTGGCTACTCTATTATTTGATGTGCTGGACAAGGGAAGACCAAACTATGTTTATAATAAACTTGTATCCTTGTATGGATGCGTGATAGGAGTAGATACCCAGTAAGGCAGTATGGGCATGTCTTTGTAACAATGAAGCACCGAATAGCAGCGTTTCGTGGATCCTTTAGATTTGCAGCTACGAAATGCTGGAACGACTTCCCGCCGCCAGTGCGTAATTTGAAAACAATTGACACATTTAGAAAACATCTAAAAACACATTTACTGCATCTGCAAAGCTTGTTATAGTATCTACGACTCACTTTAGAGTTTTTCACTTCTAGTAAACTGGCTTGCGGGGGTTGATTCTGGTTGGTTGGCTAACACTTGTTTGCCCACATCTCTGCGGAACACGCCATCTACTCTGTTGTCGCCATGCATGTTCAGATTGTTTTTTTATAATATGCTATCGTATTTTTCCGCATGTTTTATGTTAATATGATAATATTTCAATGATATAATGTATTAATAGATTCCACCTTTTCATATGTTAGTGTCTATTGTGTTTAATATATTCGTCAACCTTAGGCCCTGCCAGAATATCAGCGCTGCAGCGGCCCTGGCGTCGCTGTGGCATTATGCTGAGGCAGGGACCTAGTTGGCCTTCTTTTTTTCTGTTATTGCTTTTGTTTTGTGTAATCCTATTACATAAGGTTAATAAAATTATTTCTTGCAATTAAATGTGCTAAAATTTAGAGTATTCTCCTTCGCTTTGTTGTTCTCGATGGACCAGGTGTTGCAAATTTATCGTCTATAGTACCTACCAATCGAAACGTCACAGACCGGTATTTCATCTACATCATGGGTCTATTATAGTATAATATAATATCTTAAGTCATTATAGTTTAAATCTACTTAAATTTTATGACTCACAAATATAATAAGTTGAAAATAAATGCCACAGGTTGCATGAATAATGAGAATGACCAAAGCGCGCGTTGGAGTCTTAGATTAAAACAAAAAGTACACTTTGCGGCGCTCGTACGCCAAAACTATTGACTTTATGAAAAAAAAGGTAGATACATAAATTGTAGGCAATTGTCTCTAGTTTCATTTTGTATTAACTGTTTTTATCGTAAAATGAGTTGGAAAGGAGATATTGTCAAAAAAAAAGGCGCCATATTTCCAATATGGCGGCGCGAGCGGCAAAAATACGAGGTGGCAAAGTCGAAATTCGGAAAGAGCACCTCAAGATCTATAAAATTACCAATTTTCAAAACTCCAAAACTTTCCAGGTTAAACTACCGTACTAAAGATGTACTAAAGATCTGCATTTGATTTTAAGGAAGACACAGAAGCGTGTTTTTAAGCTTAAGCATTTTGTAATTGAATAAGTCATCCGGAAAGTCTCGGGTGATGTTGAAGTGGAATTGAATGATAAATAATAGGATGTGCTGTTGATTTAGGGCATCGCGAGAAAGGTTATAAGGCCATGGTATAGATTATGGTTGTAAAAATCCCTTAGCTACCGATACCAAATTTCTGGTTAGCTACCCATAAAATGCTGTTATTAACAGTTAGTAAGTATTGTGTTAGTTGTTTTCTTAAGTCATTTTACGTAAACTTAAAACAATGAACGTATCTTAAATATTAATAATACAAACTAATAACTAAAATAATAAACTTGATTGATACCTACTATGAACGAGCAACCCGCAGGGGTGGAAACAAGTCGGTTAAACTCCGTTTTTGAAGGCAGTTCGTAAGTCAGTTTTTTTCTCAAATTTTGGTCAGTATTTTAAGGATCTCAAAAAATATCTAATTTTTGGGACAAAATTGGGGAAAAATGTCCCAAAAATTAGATATTTTTTGAGCTTCCGTAGTCTTGAATTTACAATTTTGTTGAAGTATGTATATCAATCAAGCCGATAAAGGGTAGAATAAAACTTTGATAAATAGTTTTAGGGTAGGTGCCCCCTACATGTAAAGTGGGATTCACAATTTTGTCCGCTGGACAATGTTTTTTTAATTAAATTTTTTTATGGCGGTACGAAGTGCGCTGGGTCAGCTAGTATACTTATATATGTACAGTATATGTATTCTATCCGTTACCCTAGTATCCCATAACACAAGCATTACAGTGCTTACTTTGGGGCTAGGCTAATTGGTGTGAGTGTTGGAAATATAAAAAAAATAATATAATACTATTAGATAGAAAAATCTGAAAAAAGTCGTGATATTAGTGCTTCTACCCCTAAACACGTACTAGTAACTAATAAGAATAGTACGCTATCAACGCTAAGAGCGATCTTAAAATGCTGTTTTGTATGAAAACAGTACCTTTATATATACAGGGTGGTCAAAAAGTCGTGGATCAAACGAAACAGGGAGATAAAGAATGTTATTTCCAACAAAAAATCTTTCTACAACATGGCCATAACTTCATTGCACGAAAAGTTATAAATATTTTTGTTTTTTTCAATGAATCTACCGAGTTTTTTTACAATTTAATCAATAAAAAAATAAATTGATTAAACACAATAAAACAAAAGGTGTTGTATTATGACCGGATTATGTATCAATACTACAAAAATTGAATTGGAGCTCTCGGTACCAAATTTAACGAGCAATGAATTTTTTTTTGTAAATTTTGAAGCCATACAAAGAATTACTTCTCACTTTAGGAGCACCATGTGAAAAAAAAATGTATTACAGAAAAGTGACCCTGTATTAAAAAAACTTGCTGATTTAATGCTGATTCAAATGAGGTACAACACTTTACTGTGTGACCTTTAGTTTTGGTTTTATGGTCGTTTTTTCATGTCAAGGTGCAAATTTATAAAATGGTAAATTGAAAGGAAAATTTAGATTCTTGCTCATACGTACTATGATATACATATTTCAGAAGCCATCATGAAATAAAAAGAACAATTATGACTTAGTAATTTTATTACAATTAAAATGTTTACATTAAATGTTCAAAGTTCCTACCTCTGACCATAATGCACAATATGCACCGCCTAATAAAATTCGCACGTAATCGGCGGAATGCACCTCTGTTATAACAATTTGTAACCTAGCGAACTCGAGCTTTTGTCGTAGTTCTTGTTCGGTGTTATTCTCTCCTTGATACACTATTTCTTTGAAATAGCCCCTAAAAAAAAAAACGAGTTAAGGTCGGGCGACCAGGGTGGTCATGCAATAGGTCCGCCTCGACCAATCCACCGGTTAGGGAAGCACTCGTTCAAATGTCCTCGAACTGCTCGAGCATAATGAGGCGGGGCGCCATCTTGTTGCAGCCACATTTCTGCCACTCTATCTTCAGGAATCTCAGCTTCGTTGAGTATTTGGTTCAAATTATTCTGTAAAAAATTCAAATACAGAGCACCATTCAGCCTTGGTGGCACTTCATGTAGCATAGGCTTCTGGTCAATTATTCCAGCCCACATGTTTATACCAAACAAATGCTTGAATCGATCATTTCTGATGATATGTGGGTCACTCTTGAGTAAAATTGTAAATTGCGGATGTTAAAAATTCCCATTCTTCTAAAATTTGACTCATCAGTCCATAAAATTTTGTTGTAGAACTGCGGATCCTCTCTGTGTCG